ACAGGAACTGATTTTCCTGAGGGGGACCCAAACTTTTTTCTGATTTCAGATCAGTATATGACTGGCAGCTTTTCACTTCTCAGTCCCCTCACTGAACAGAGACTGTGGCACACATCCAGCCTTGAAAAGCCACATCCCAAAACAACCATAAAAATAAACTTCCAAAATATGAGAAATTATCCTGGCCAGGAATATTTTGGCCTAATGATTGATTGTTTCAGGTAGGAAGGCATAACACAAACACGAGTTTTTGAAGAGGTGAGGAAAGAGGTGCCTTTATCATTTAGGAAGAGAGGAGCAGGTCTCTTCTAATACCAATTGTTTCTGTATTTTATTTTTCAAAGTGCTTCAGGCAGTGCAGAGCACAGGTTTGACTCAGTTGGCTTCAGGGCCAGGTAGGAGATCCATCCAAGGAGTGCTCAATGGGCTCCTTGTTGGGAACTGAACAAAAGGCACAACAGCTTCAGTGATGGCAGAAACTCGATTCCCTGGAACAAGAAAATCTCTCTGTCCCTCATCAGCATCCCTAAAAGCCCCAAAGAAACAGACTCTGGACTTAGGGAGGCTCTTGGAGTTTTGCAGCATTGCATATCTACAGCACATACAAAGCTGGGTCAGAAATGCAAGGCTGGTACTTTGCTGCTTGCCTATTAAATTACCCTTTCCTTCATGAGCAAGTATCAGGACTGTCCAGCTGGGCTTTTTCTGGCTCTCTTGGAGAGCCTTGGTGCATTTCTGGGAGCTTTACCAGGACTCCTCACACCTCTGCTGCTGAGGGAGGACACACTCGATCCTCCATTACAAAAATCCTCTTGCAGAATCATTTCTCATTTCTCTCCAGGCACTCCAGGCTCAGCCCAAAGGGTTTCCCATTGGCAGGCTCCAAATCCACCTGCCTAATTCTTGTGTGCTGCTCTCATTTCACTGTCATACACCAGAACTGCTCAGAAAAGATAATTTCTAGCAACAAAAGCAAGAACTTACTTTTATCTTTCTTCCTCTAAACTTTGTGGGCACCCTTGTGATGGAAGCCACGTCCTTGTGATGCTGTGGCTGTGCCTTTCCTCTGTCACACTGCTCAGGTGGTGATGTTTATCACGGAGGATTGAAGATCTTTTATAAAGAAATGTGTCCCCAAGTTCATGTCCCAGCATTCAAGAATGTCCCCTCTCACCTGCTTCTGCTTTGCTGTCCTGTCCCAGACGCTGAGTAACAGTAATTTAACAAAGTAAAAATTCGATTAATCAGATATCACACAATGGGTAGATAAAAGTTTCAGAGGATGCTATTTTATGCTATTTTATTTTATGAAAGATTTGGCCAGAGGCAGTGGGCAGTTTGAACAGCTCCAGCCCTGGAAGGTGGTTTGGATTTGGTGCTGGCTTCAGTGACAGCAAAACTGGGACTTGCATGGCAAACAGCAACTCCTGTCACCCTTTCCTCCCAGCCCAGGCTCAGAAATCGCTGGCCAGACCTGCCATCTCATTTTTCTGTTTACAGTCTGCACAGAATCATTTCCCCCCAGCCTAAGCAGCCACTGATATCATGTTGGAGATAAATGTCCTGTGGCAGTGGCCCAGCACAAGATAGGATGGAAAAAGGGTCAGTGTGTCAGAAATGGATAACAAATGACATCAGATGTAACATTATTTAACTCAAAACTCTTCTATTGGATATAAGGACTCTGAGATATCCTATTTTAAGGACTATAGGATAAGAATCACAATGCTATTAGCTGCCAACTCTCTGCAACACCAGATACTCGTTGAAAAGGACTATTGATTAACAGAGATGGAAACAGTTCTTTTGGCAGCTGTTTGCCAGCTGGAAGTTAATATGGGAGTCAATTACCACCAGATAAATGTCCCTTCTACAAGATCACCAGCAGAAACTTTCAGAGAAGGAAGATACAGGCATGGCTTTAAATATCATCACTATTCAGACAAAACCAGATGGGTTTAAATATCAGCACTATGGTCTTAGAAATTAATTTTTCAGTGAAGTGAAAGGCTTAGGGTGGAAAGCAAAGCAGCTCAAGAACAAGGCAAAGCAGCTCACACAGAGTGAGAGTTACCCCTGCACCAGCCAGGGGGAAAATGAAGTGATTTTTCCTCCCAGTGTAAGATGGGGGGGATTTGTGAATGCCGAGAACCTGCAGAGCCCAGGAGTGGGAGGGGTTGTGCTGAGGAACGATTCCCTCTGGTGAGGAGAGCCCGGCACTGCACAGGGAATGAATTACACCAGGCAGCAGAGCACGAGGGAGCCACAGCTCTGTCCTCACCTCTGTCCTCACCTCTGCCTGCTTGGGCAGCACCACCTGCTCACACTCTGGCTCCCAGGAACCTGAATCCCAAACTTTGCACTCCCAGGGCTCAGTGCACAGGGCTGGGAATGCTCACACCCAGTCCCAGGCACGGAGCATGTGACAAGGACCTTGGGCTGACATTGGGGAGGTTTATCTTGAACAATCTGTTTGCTCCTGTGTGCAGGGCAGGCTCACAGGGTAGGAGAGCACCTAGCTGGGGCCAGCACACGTCAGTCCCAGCAGTGGGGGCTGCCAGCCCCACCTCCTCCAGGGGCAGGAGGGAAAGGATTATCAGCATTCCCAGTCTGGCCTAAACCAGGAATTGTTTTTCACAGAATCCCAGAATTTCACAGAATCCCAGATTTGGGATTCAGCTCATCCCAGTCACCCCCTGCCATGGGCAGGGACACCTTCCACTGTCCCAGGCTGCTCCAAGCCCTGTCCAGCCTGGCCTTTCCTCCCCAAACACAGCCCAGAAGGTGAAGGCTGGCTCATCCCTGCTTTGCTGGTGCAAAAGTTGTGCAAGTTGTTCACTCACTAAGTTAATCACTAAACCAAACTCCCAACAATTCGCTGCAAATGGGTGGAACCCCGGCCTGCTCATTTCCCTGATCACAGAACAATCACTGCAGGTTTGTTATCTACAACTACCAGGGCACGGTGACAGGGCCTGTTCAATGGAGGCTGAATAAAACGTTCATGTTTTTCAGCACACTCAGATGTTCCTGGAACATTTGGTTTCAACGTTTGCTACACCTTCCTGCCACAGCATTTACACTTGTGACTGGAAATCTCTGCCTTCTGCTTTTTCCCTGTAATTCTGGGTGGAGTTTTGCCCACTTTACCCAATAAATCCCCACTCCAATCAATGCATAAACCCCTGCCCCAAGCAGGCACTGAGAGCTGAATAAGAGGAATGAGTTTGGCTTACCAGGAGCTCATCTTTCCGTTCTGCATCCATTTCAAGGAAGTGTCATGAGGGTGTCAAGTGCTTTCCCTGCAATCTCACCAGCTCTGGGAAGCAGCCACTTCCTTCCCAGCTTTCAACACCATCCTTGGAAAAGATAAACATGGGAAGCATGTGCTAGAGGAGATAATCCAACAACTGAGGCTTTTGGGAATGGGAAAGGTGAAGGAAAACCAGCACCTGGTGGCACTGCTTGAGCACAATACAGGTCACAGAGTATCATTCTGGGAGCCTTTAATACCATGCAGGTAAGAGCTGCTGGCTGGCAAAGTGAGCCCAGAGTTTTACTGCATCAGAAAAATTGCTCTGGTTAGACTTTTAAGGAGATTAGCACAGCTATAACAACTCAATTTCCCAGATTTGGCTTGCAGAGCAAAAGCACACACTCAAACACTGGAATACAAAAGCTAAATTAAATAACACAAAAAGCACAGGAAACCTTTCAATAACTAAACTATTATTTCTTTGAACATCACCACTTATGCTGTGATCTCAGGTTGAAGATTCAGCAAGTCTGATATAAGTAGTTTGTGCCAACAAGCCTAAAAGAGACAGGCTCATAGGTTACCTATTTAAATCTGGGTTTAGGATAAAGTATCCCCTCCCAAGCTGAGGACAGATGAGATGGAGAGTGGCAGCTCTAGTTTTAGGCTCCAGCTTTCAGGACGTGCCACAGCAGCTGCAATAATGGCCTGAGGAGGAAAAGGAATGGTCCAGTGATTCTTAAAATAGAACATGGGAAGCCTAAGTGGAAAGGTTTGATATAACACGGATAAATTCCTCTGCAATGTCAGCAATGCCTGTAAAGCAATGAGGAATTGAGCACTCAGGCTGGATTTTGAGTAAAGACACAACAAAACTGGAAAGAGAGGAGCAGAGAGGGCTCCCACTGCTTGGGCGAGTGGAGCTTGCCCAACGCTGATGTCTGAAGGTGGCAGAGGGTGGAGGCTGCTGGGGCAGCGCTGCTGATGCTCAGTAGAGTGTGACAATCCGGCTCCAGCCTCCCCAGGCTCTGAGCTGCTCTGGGACCTCACCTGCCGCTTGTTGGCCTCGCAGCCCCATTCTGTGTTTCCTGGTACCACCGTGTGGCCAAGGGAAGAACAGGCTGTTAATCACGGCGTGTTAATGAGCTAAAGAGCCCCGCACAAATCCCTGCGTCCACCGGGCTGTGGCGAGGAGGCACCGTGAGGTTGCCAAATCCAAACTTCCCCTGGCAGCGTGCCTCAGATCCAGCTTGCCTCTGAAATCACGGATATTTTCTGCAAGAGCAATTAATTCAGTATCAAGGGATTTTTTCTCAGTGGGGCTTGGCAGCAGGGAAGTTAACTGGATCGTGGTATGGCAGGGAAACCTGGGCACCCCCAGCCAGGCTGCAGGGCAACAAAACCCATCCATCAAACACCCCCAGCACAGGAACAACCTCTGCTACTCTCTCCAGTGAGAAAGAAATGATGAGAAAAGCTAATTTAATTGCCCAAGTTGAGAATCAGTCCTGGGGCTAAACTCAGAACCCCTAATACAGGAATGTTCAGCTCTTGTGCTGAGGTAAGACTGAATTCCATTGAGAAGCACCAAGACGCCACTTCATTAGAATAAAAGCAAACAAAATCTGTCTGGGCAATGCTGAAATAGTAATCCAGAGGAACCAGATTAATAGTAATCTATTAGTAACTGCTCTCCAGGAGGAGACTGCCACATACACCCACCTCTGCACAGCAAGCAATAAACTCCAGAGCAGGGGAGAGCTGCTGCCTGCAGGGAAATTTGTTCAAAATCCAAAAGTAACCTCAGTGGGATAACTGAGTGAGAAAAAATTAGATCTACTATCAAATCTCTTTAGAAAAGGAAAAATTTAGTTTGGGGTTTATGTGTCCAGCAAAATACAGAGAATTGTGGTTCCTACTGCACCCCTGAGCCACCTTGGGACTGCTCCTCCCACATTCTCCAGGCTGGTTTGCTGTACCTAAGGCAATGAAGTGTTTTTCTTTGGAGGCTTTAATGCATTTTAAAAGGCCTCACATTTAGGAAGTTTTCCCTGAAATTTTCTACTCCTGTTTCTTCTGCCACACCACGTATTTTCTGGCTCCTTTTGTAATGAGATGGTTAAAATGCTAAAAAAAAAAAAAAAATAAAAGAGACAAAACAGTTTTTAATAAAGGGTCTTTTAAAAACCGAGTCTTTCACATCAGAAATCTTCTAAAGCTAAGTCACTAAAGATCTTTATTAGCCTCAATTAACTTTACTCAACCACAGATCCCCCTGTGCCATCTCCTTCCCATCCCTTATGAATGATGGGCTCACTCTGTAAATTGTGAGTTTAACTCAAGCTCCATTTCATCTCCACCAAGTGCAGGAGAAGGTGCCATTTCTCAGGAATTATAGTCAGCAATATTAGTCCCTGGGTATGGTATTACCATATCTGGGATGATTTAGGGACAATGAAATCCCTGTGCCATCAAGCTGTGTGATTCTTCTGACACAAATGATCCTGCAACTCAATATCCTCAGGATGCACTCACTGAATTCAGTCCATTTGCCTTCCTTGTTCCCTTTCAGCCCACCCGTGGCAGGGCTCAGGGATGGGAGCAGGATACTTTTGCTTCTTCCAAACAGAATTGAGCTCTGTGAAGGAAAAAGGAAAACTGCTGCACGGGGGAAGGATTCTGAAACTCAAAACTCTTAATCCTAGAGCACTGCACTGGGAGGAGCAGGGGTGTGGGGAGTCCTCCTGGCTTGGCCAGCTCACCTGTTCTCGTGGTTTTCAGTCCAATTCATTTTCAGTTTAGCATAAACCCATGTTTATATGGAAGCTGGTTCTGTAGGATATCAGGAAGTGAGCACTGGCTGGCAACTTGCTCCCATTAGCTTCTGCTCAGTTTAATTGCCACTGTTTTGAGGGGAGTCCAGAGACTTTGCTCAATAATTTATCAATAATTTCACCCTTCTTAAAACTCCAGCAAAATCCTGAAGTATTGGGAAAACAAGGATCATCCCCAGTATCCACTTCCAGCATCCCAAAGGCTTTAGTCCTGTGCAGAACTCAGCCACTCTTTGCAACTTCACCTATTAAGAGGCAAATAAATGACAACAGCAGCTTGGGCCTGTTTCCCAGGTGGCTGGTGCTGAAATTAATAAATGGAGAAACAATTTAGTGGCAGAGCTCTAATATCACATGGATTTAACCCATACTGGTGCCCAGCTCCAAGGCCTGCTATGGAGCACAGAACCCATTTTGCCTTTCTGGTGCCAGTGGTGATTTTCTGGACCCTGGCTGTGATGTTTCCCAAAGCTCCAGCAGGACAAATCCCTGCCGCTGCAGAGCCCACCCAGCAGACCAGGCTGTTAACAGCACAACCCTGTTCCCAACAGATACACCTGAGACAATTTTCCATGTCAAATGATCACAATTTAGCAGGAAATTCTGTGTTCAGCTCCGGGCGCTCAGGCAGGCGGCAATGCAGATCTGTGGTGCCTCTAACCACGAGCCAGGCACGGGCTGCAGCTCAGTGCCTGCTCCCCAGCTTTCATTTATACAGCTAATTAGTTGGATTTACTGGCTTCAGCATCCCTCACCCTCTATTTGCTTAAGGAGAAATAGATGAGTCCTGCCTGTTGAGTCAAGCCCAACAGGCCAGTAACTCCAGCAGTGCAGGGCACATCCAGTGGGAACCTCAGTTCTGAAAATATCCATTGCTTTCAGAGGAATTTAGGTAGCAAACTTCACTTAAAAATCACTATTTTTGTGCTTGGCTGGAGAAAACATCCTGCAAGGAACCACAGGGGCAGCACAGGCTGCTGGGGGAAAGATGGAGAAGTTAAGGAATAACTTCTTAACAAAGAGCAGCCCTGAGAATGCCCTTCATTAGCAGCACTTTGTTTAATGACCGGGGGTGAAGAGGTCACCCAGGCAGGGATGGACACAGGGTGAACATTCCAGCTGGCAACCCCTCCAAACCCAGTTCCTTTGGAAATACTCGTTCATTTGTAGATGCCCAGCAAGGTAAGGCTCTACAAAAGCAGGGTAGGCTATTTCAAACTTTCTGCTTTTAAAATATTTAATTATTATTATTATTACTTTCCTTTCCGCAGCCACATCTCACCACCCAGCTGCTCCAGGAGGTTTGGTGGCTGATTCTGGGTGGGGTTTAATGATTATTAAACAAGATTATTCATCATGATTTCTTTTCTGTTAGACATACCAGCTATGGGAGCAGGGGATGGAGCAGTTCCTAGGGGTACCTCCCAAGCTGCCTTTTGTGCCTGCAGCCGCTCCTGAGCACTTCCAGCACTCCCGGCCTCGGAAATTTCTGCATGTGAAACTCTGCCCTGCTCGTTTTCACTGGATTCCCTCTGAAATCAGCACAGGTTGAAACAGGTCACTGAACTTAATCACAAACAGACACTGAAATCCCAGGGAAAGCCAAGCAGAGATGGAAAAAATATTCCATCTGACAGTCACTGAAGGAGACGTTTACACAGGGGGGTTTGGGTTTGGCTCTGCTCTGGAGTCTAAGTAGCAACTATAAAAATGGTGCATTTTTACTCAAAAATCTCCTCTCCTGCTTAGTCACTACCCCAGCCAGGTCTGGATTCGATTAGCAGGAGCAACAATATTCAAGTTTAAGTGCAGAAATGTAACACATCATCAGTTTTATGGAGCCAGTTCTGGTTTCACTCCCAAGGAAAGCTCACCAGAATTTACTTTTCTCTGCAGCAAGATCACTGTATTCCTCCCCATATTGTACAGTGCTAAATCTTAGAAAATAAAGATAATTTATCTCGGTAGATTCACTTACATGTTCCATTTTCAGCCTCCAAGCAAGCCAAGGCTCTAAAAACCTCTTGCAGTGATCTAGCTTTTAGGCAAGGAAACCTCGCTTTTAGGTAAGGGAATCTTGCTTTTCAGGTATGAATTACAACAATTAATTATCTGAATGAAAACACAAAACACAGACATGCACAAAGCAAGAGCTCTTAAACCACATGAAGTGAACTAAAGGCAAGAGAAATTAGAGAGCATTAAGAACAGTCCAAGCCAAACCGTATCCAGCTTTATTAAAGGTACTTTTCATGAACAATCATGGTAATTTTAGGCAGGACATGGGCTACAATCTGCAACATTTTACAACAACTGTCAAACTCCCCTCCCTTTGTGGACTACTGAAATGGAGAAGTTGCTAAAAACCGTAAGAATCCTCGGCTCACACTTGTAGAGGGCAAAGTTTAGAGTGAGGGTGGACACGTTCACATCTGCACGTTGTCTGACAACTGCACAAACCCACCCTGACTTTGAGAGGAAAAGAAAATCTACAGGCAGGTTTCTATATCTGAGGATCCACAGTAGAAAAGAGGAAGTGCAGCTCCTTTTTGAGCCAGTATATCCCGGATTGGACACCAGAAATCCGGAGCATCTGAGCGTGGTACGTCCCAAAATGCCAGTTCTGCTGTGGCTGGGAGTGACGGGCTCTGGGTGAACAGGGGGACACCAAAGGAGAACTGATGGCATTGGGATCTGGAGCAGGCAACAGCACCTTGGGAGCTTTGATGTTCACTTGGTCAGCACGGGGGAATCCCTTCTTCCAAAAACTGGGGGACTGGCAAAAGCTTTTCTTATTAAAATTTAGGTTTTGAGAAATAGACTAAATGACATTTGTCCCCATTGCCCCCCACCCCCCCAGAACACGACAATGAAGCAGTCTGTGTGCTAACAACATAGCTTAAAAAAAAGTAAACCAAAATTCTGCATTGTTATAAAACTTGATAAAAAATAGTATTTCAAACTGTACAGTCACCAGAAGTACACAGTTATCAAAAATTCACACGTTTTACTTGGCTTCAGCAGCACCTTCAGCTTTCTGTGCCTGAAAAGGAAAAGGGGAACAAGTCAATTCATTAGAGAAACAGACACTCATTTTTCTGTATAGCAAAACCCTGAGCAGAACAAATCCTCTCTGGGCTGCACAGCTCTGATTTTTAATAAAACTAAATTTAACGTCTGTGGCACCATAAAACACAACTTAGAAGCTGCTTTGTGAACTTCACAGAAGAACAGTAACTTCCATGTGGCAACATCCCCTGGCAAACAGACAACTTTAACTCTTTACCAACACCCCCCATGTGTGCTAAGTGGCTGCCCAAAGCCAGGACCTGTCCCCAAGAGGGAAAGGAATCGATCCTGGTGCAGGACAGGCTGCTGGGATACCTGGTCTGTTTTGGCATCTCCATTTTCTGCGGGGTTGTTTCCCTCCTTGCCAGCATCAGCTTTTCCCTTCTTCCCCTTGGGCGCCTTCTCGCTCTTCTGTAAACGCAAGACAAGATTTGCTGTCAGCTCCCAGCAGGCAGACCCGAGCCCCAGCCCCTGAGCCAGGGCTGCTGGCCCCAAAGAACACAGCACACCCATGTTTGTTTGTTAAGGGATTGACAGCAAGTGTCAAGTCTTCACTTGGGTATTTTTTATGCAAATTCTGTAAAATCTGCAAGTTTTCAGTTCAGCTTTATGCAGCTCCATTTCCTCGCTGCACAGCTGGTAACTAAAGGTTTGTCAGTTGTTGTTATTGCCAGGCAATGCCAAACCTCATCACACATTTACCTTTCCAAACAGCCCTGACCCAACTCACCTTTGGAGCTGCTTTTTTAGGTTTGGGCTCTGGCTTTGGAGGAGCTGGCTTCTGCAAGGGAGAGAAAACCTGTGTTAGACACCCGTGGAATGGTTTGGCTTGGGAGGACCTTAAAGTGCCACCCCTGCCATGGCAGGGACACCTTTCACTGTCCCAGGCTGCTCCAAGCCCCATCCAGCCTGGCCCTGGGCAATCCAGGGATCCAGAGGCAGCCACAGCTGCTCTGGGCACCCTGTGCCAGGGCCTGCCCACCCTCACAGCCAGGAATTCCTTCCCAACATCCCAGTCCTCTGGCAGTGGGAAGAGCCATTTCCCCCCCCTTGTCCTGGCACTCCAGTCCTGCTCCAGAGAACCAAACTACTTTTCTTTTTTTTTTTTTTTTTCAAACATTCAGGCCAAACAGCTTAGTTTTAAGAAAGTAAATCAAAACATTTCAAACTGCAGCAGTTATTTGGCTTGTCCGTTATTTTACCACTCCCATAGCACCACACAATGGGGCAGGTCCTTAAGGCAGGAACTTAATTACTTAATTTTCACCTCCAGCTCTGACACACATTTACACACCCAGTGGTCATGTGTGAAACCACCAAGGGTTGTGACATCTCTGCCCAGCAAGAGGATACTCACAGCAGATAACCTCGCTGATCTCCGCTGTGGCTGTTGGAAAAGGAAAATAATTTTATTGAAATGACGGAGAATACAAACTTCCAAAGTCTCACAAACTTGCTCTCTTCCCAAAGTAGTAAACCCCCAGAAATTATGTTTATTCTTTAGTTTTTAGAAATTAAGGAGGCAGTTCCCCTTTCCTGTGTTCTCAAGAAACATGAGGCCATGCCATTGAAATTACTAATAGCCAATAATAGTTAAGTAGATTTTTCATGGTTAAAACTAGATTTCTCATGGTTAAAAAACAGTTAAGACTTTGAAAAGTCAGAATCAATTGAGACCAACCCTCCCCTCTACTCCCCAGTTATTCTGATGACGTTAAACCTCATCTTCCAACGGAAACACTTGATGATCCAACTTTCTCAAAACACTCAACTTCTTACCTCATCCTTAACTTTGGCCTTATCGCCCTTGGTCTCTCCTTCAGCCTGGGGACACGGACACAGGTTGTAGGAACAAGTGATGGGGAGGATTCCCAGCCTCCAGCCGCCCTTCGAACCTCCCCAAATCTCAAGGGGAACATCCCCATCCCACCCCCGGCGGGTACCGGCCCCTCCCCGCGGGGCCGGGGCGGGGGATGCCGGGGCACGGCCCCGCTCCGCCGCAGCCCAGGCGGGGCGGGAGCGGCCGCCGCCTCCCCGGGCCGTGTGCGGGGTTTGTGCGGGGGCGTCGCTGTCCCCTCAGGGCCGCCCC